GTAACGCTCCTTAATAATAATTTGAAAAAACATTGGCTGGTTAATTATGAAGAGAAATTAGATTATAAATAATAGATCAAATATATCAGAGTGGTAGGCTATATTTACTTTATTTTCCTTTCCCTCTACTTTCCACACCCTTTGTTGTTTATTTTGTACATATGATTTGAATGCTTCAACAAATTCATCACACTGCCTGTTTTTTGTTTTTTTCTCAAACCATATTGTGTGGGGTGGGGGGGCTCCACAAGGCTCAATTTTAGAGTGTGTGCTTTGTCATCTTTATTCATTGCCAGGCTCGCTGTTAGGAGAACATGGATGAAACTGCCTTCCATTTCTATGCAGATGATTGCCTGATCCATCGGCTGTTCTATGAAAAATCCCCATTAGATTTCACCTCCGCATCTTGAATTTTAATGGAAATGAAAGAGAAGTGATAATATAACCACATGACCTCTAAATCCACCACTGTTGTTTTCAGACTTTTTTTTTTATTCACTGTCACTATTTCGGGTTGTATGGTAAATTCTGCTGATTCACTGTTTACCTCAAGTCAAGAGTCTAGAGGTTCCGAGGTCCAAATGGAGGCTCAGAGGGAGCAGAGCCTTTTCTGTTACTCCTCAGTTGTGGAAAGTCCTACTTACAATCATTTAGGGTGTTGTCACAGTCATAACAAAACATCGTTTTTCAGTGACTGCTTTTGCCTTAGATGACATAAGACAATTCCAGATGCCATTTAATAAATTTCTGTTGGTATTAAAAGTTCTGTTTTAAAAGAATGTGTTTTAACATTCACTATCATAATCTTATAAAATCTTTTGCATAACCTTGCAAAACTAAGTTGCTTTATAAAGATGGTTGTGTCCTTAAGGCTGCTCAGATGTTTGGGGGTCACCACAGAAATTCTTTATTTAAATTGATACATCATGATAAAGATAACAGACTTGGTAAAGTATACAGCCAAATTCCCTTCCCAATGCAACCAGGTTTCGAAAAACAAATCCCATTGCAGCTGCTGGATCGACAGGAGGGCGGATAACGCAATCCTGTATGGCAGTGGGTGGGAATAAAAAGCCTTAAAGTCATGTCAAAGTGCATCCATCCATCCATCCATCCATCCATCCATCCATCCATCCATCCATCCATCCATCCATCCATCCATCCATCCATCCATCCATCCAT